AAATGTACCAATTCCATGTAAACCATTTAAATCTCAATAATACTCATTATATAATCTACTTCCATTTACAGCATAATTCTAGCTGCCATTGGAAACAGCTTTGAAACAGCAGTTAACAAGTCAAAAGCCATGGTATATAAAATAATTATCAAAATAAAAAATTATGTTTCCTTTTTTGGGAGGGCTTATGTAATATTTCAAAGAACAAAGAGAAATGTAAAAAAGAGAGATGTAAAAAGTACAAACCAATCAAGGCAACATATATAAGATGCATATATCAAGAGAGCTTAGAAAGATTCAATACTTTTATATCTATTAAAATGAACCTTCCCAGTTATCATCTTGATGTAGAGAAGTCAATGGCTTCAATGACTCTGTGAGTGATGGCAACATGGGTGGGATAAGGTCAACATAAGGTCAAAAGATGAGGGTAAAGTTAAGAGTAACTCATCATAGGGGATAATGGTTTGACAGATATGATGATAGTAAGCCCATGTGAAGAAGAAACTCCAAAATCAAACCCAGAAGAAAATGGCAAAATACTTTTATATTATTTCTAAGAAAAATATATGGAGATGGCTCAAAACATTAAGCATGTTTACATGCCAGACGAGACCCCTGATTGGAAGGTATTTGTTTAGTTGCTGTAGCTGAACTTCTACAAGTATATCTGTCCATAAGGAAATGAGGTCATTGAAGCTCCCAATGTTGAAAGAAGAGTTTTACAAGGGCATATACAACTGAAATGTGGAATCTGAGAAGCATGAAACAAAGAAAACTTGGAACTGTCAAAACAGAAATGAAGAAAACTAAATGGGCCACTTTAAATCATATGATTACAAAAGGATGAAATAGCAATGATACTCAAAAAAGAACTTTGTTAAGTATTATGTTTAGCCATAACTGTCAAGCTCTTGGTACCATCTCAGCAGAAACCAAGATTCTCATCAAATCTTTTTTTTTTTAACAAGAGTTACTGAAAGGAGAAGGAAAAACAAATTTCAACAACTGGATTATTTTCACTTTAGAACCCAATTTATCTTCCAGTTCATTAGGGCAAAAACTTTTTCAGCCTTTTCCTAATGAAATTGTTGTGAATTGGCAAACTAGATGCTCCTTTCAGAGATAACTGAAAGATTATGAAACTCAATGCTTTCAAAACAACCTCCTGAATTTTTCTCTCAGAATTAACTATTATTATGACTCAATAAAGAACAGGATCATATCAATTAAGAAAAATCCAAATGGCTTTTAGAACAAACCATCATGATAGCCAGGGAAAATCAGATAAGAACTTTGGGCAACAAGAAAAATGTGCCATGTTTGGTTTTCTTTGGCTACAAAATAGGTAAGATGGATAAGTAAAGAGAAGATTAATCCTTGTAACAAAGGCAAATTTAAGCAATTTCCGTGACAACAAAGGTCACAGTAAAGGCATGTTCTTTCTAATAAAAAGGTGTGACCGAAAGCCGAATACTGAGAATAAGAGAAAAAAATAGACACTTTAAAATTATGGATGTGGAGATCACTACCAAAAATGATATTGGTGCAAGAACCAATCAGTGGGTCTTGCAGTAATGAAATGAAAACTGACTGCTTTGTTGAAACAGTGACTGGCAAGTAGAAGCTCACATACTTTGAGCATGTGATGCAAATGGATGAAGGATAAGAAAAAAAACTACTATGCCTGGCAAGTTTGAGAAAAATTAGAAGGGCAAGTCAAGAGATAAGGCATGAGATCAAAGAGATCACTTGAATGTTCTTGGAAGACTTAAAGATTATTGCCAAGAGATAGGTCAAAATGGTAAACATTTATCACCAGGGGGTGGTCCCAAGTCAATGGTACCTAAGTTGGTTTTAAATAGCAAGGAAGGAAAAGGCTAAATTTGACAGACTGGATTTTAATGTAACATCAATTAGAAGTGCAGTGTAAAAATTACTTTTTAAATACCCACACATATATGCATTCATATAAACTGTTCAAGCATAAAAGATGACTGACCTCTCCACATACTGAAATAATACAAATTATATACATTTGTTACTGCAGTTCTATACCTATACACACTTGGAGGCCCAAATGAACTTAAGAGACTTAACTTTTGAGCAGATACGCCACCTCGGTATGATCTCTACAATGAATTCAAAGAGTATGCTGTGCAATGTGTGTCAGATATCATCATCGTCATCATCATCACCATCATCATCATCTACCAATAGCTGGTTTAAAGGCAGTTACTTGTCCAAAGCAGAGTGAGGCATCTAGGTTTCCTAAATTCAAACTATTTCTTGGATTTATTTATTTCAGATTCTTGGAAAAAGATAGCTAAGACATAAAGTTTACTTGTTTAATTTTCAGCCAGCTACTCAAACCCTTTCCCAAGATATTCTACCCAATTTCTTTGTCACTCTCCAGCTCTTTATTTCTTTTTTCCTCCTTCCACTCAATTCTAATATCCAAATACCTTTAAACCTTATGATGTCAAATTTGAGAATAATCTGTGGTGAAGAATAAATAAAAGTTCAGAGTTGTATTTATGAAAGTGCACATTCAGTCATACACACATACTTTATAGCACATGAAAACAACCGTTATTACGTAGCAAGTTTTTGCAATGCAAACAAACCTTTTTGTAAGGATATCCAATACCTGAGCAAAGAGCTCAACTTATCTTCTTCCTTATGGTATCACTATTACCTTCTTCACTCTCAGGAAATAAATGAGGTTGTGCTGAAATGAAGGATACCAAACAACTGCACACCTGGGCTTGATGAATGAGTTTTATTTATATATTTATCTGATTTATACCCACATTTCTACTCTAATGAATCCTTGCTATGATTAACATTTTTTAAAAATCTCTAAAGATAAAACATACATTAAAATTAATACTAAATTAATAATTAATTCTTGCAAAGTCTGGTGAAAGTATTGCTACTTTACAAATTTTCTATATGCTGAGAGAATGAGGGCCAAATTCAGAGGAAATGCATTCAATAGCCCAAGTGTATTGCAGAATTCTTCTGCACCACATAGGCAACAGGGCATCTTAAGAAGGGTCCTCCTGTAACAGCTTTCATATTCAGAGCCCAAAGACTTTTAAGGCCTGAAATGTTAATACAAATACAAATAAAATACAACTACCTTAAATTATGCTCAGGAAGCACTTAACAATCAGTGCAAACCTTCTGGATCCCTGTATCTTGTACAGGTTAGTAGCTTAACTTTTATGTTTTACATCAAATGCAAATTCTAGACACATTTCAAAGGACACCCTATGAATAGCTCCTCGTGAGATGAACAGTTTAAAAGATTAGATATAACCATGGATTGCTGTTGCCAAATCTGACCAGTTCAGGAAGAAACAGCTGGCATGCCAGCCTTAATTGTGCAAGCTCTGCTCCTTTGCCATGGTTAAGACATGTGATTTCAGTGACAGATGTGATGATTAGACAGAGCTTCCAGATTGTGGAGTTGCTGCAGAAATGAAAGAAAGTTTCAAGTTTGGAAGTCTCATTGGTTCCTTACTTTGCAATATATAACCGCACCAGGATAAAGCAGTACGTCCCATGTAAAAGGAAGAAATTTTTACCGTAAGCAACATTTTCAAGTTTTTTAAGTGTGCCTTGCCACAGAAACTTTAAGAAAACATACACAGTGAAGTGCACACTTTTTATAATTATGCTAATTGATGTAAATGGAGACCTGACATCCACTAGAGGACTTCCTTTGAAATGTTCCTCTTGGATGGAATGAGTAGTTCACTTAGTACTATATTGTCAGGACTGCTCAAAAGCTATCTCTTTGAGAATTTATATTATAATCACTTCATTCAGAAAAACTCTTGTTAGATGACTAAACAAAATGAATATAATACTGATCCTCAGATTTGGGGTGAGATGGAAAGAAAACTCACTTGGGTCATCCAATCAACCTGTCAGTTAGAAATAATAAATCCCTCTTATTCAAGGGAAGTTCAAGGAATCCACTTCAGCACAAAAAAAGGTTTAAATTGAAACAATGTTACAGATAGAAAATAAGTGAATGAGAAGTGTTAACAGAATGAGAAACAGCAGATTGGGACACCACAACTACAATGAAGGGTATAGCGAAGAAGAAAGTTTGTTATAATTTTCTTAAAGGGAAAACAATATATTATTGTAAATATTCACCTTCTTCATATAAGCAAGTTCCCAGTATATAGACATCAACTAGAGGCTGATTTGGTTCTTAGTGATTTCTGGCATCATCCATGAAACTGAGAAAGGGTATCAAAGATGTATATCTGTCCTTTATTTCTCTCCTTCTCAAGTGTCAATTTTGGCACAAGAGCCTTCTTAAAACTATCCCGTCGCCCTCCTTATGTCTGGAACAGAGACTCTGGTTTAAAAACAATCCTAGATCTCTCTGCACCAATTAGCAGAGAGGGGAAGAATGTACAAAACTTATGCTTGCTCATTGCTCATCTAACACTTTGGGGCTTATGAATTTTGGAATCTAAGTCCAACACAGGCAGAGTTTTACAGGGTTGTATTACCACCAGCACCCCAAAACACAGCTGTTCTTTCCCATGTTTTGGGGTGGTAGTAATGTGATGAAGGACAATCACTATTGGCCAAACCACTGCACGAGCAAGAGCTCACTTGCCTATGCAGATTATCTATTTTAGCAATAAGACTCTGCTATGAAATCTTTCTTTCATGCACTCAAGCTACCACCTTCATTAAAATGAATGGGAGTACCTACCCTTCCAGAAACTCCCAGCACACAGAGAAGCACATGGAAGTCTGAACTGGGACAGGTATGCATTTACTGTTCTGATGATACATAACAATGTTGCAGTAATTTAATTAATAAAATCAAAAACACTATTTCACTTAAAATCAAAATAATTCCTTTTGATTTGTTTTTAAATTTATAAACCTATGTTTATTTTTTAAAATATGTTTGTATATAGATAAAGATAGATGTAAGACAGGTTTTTAGCATATTTGTTTACCATTCTCATTGCTATAGTTCACCAGCATGCCACAAAAGACAGTCAAGAGCTTCTCATTGGCTGGATCTGTTTTACTGCCCAGTGACCTTAAATGGTCTATTACAATCTGTGCCCCACCTGCATGGTCAACTGCGCTTCTGCCCTCATCTGTAAAACAAAGAGTCAAATTAAGAAATAAAATTAAAAAGGCACTTAAGAGTTCCAAACATAACAATCATCATAAAGAGAACTGCGGTCTTGGATTATTAGTGATATGGTAAATGTGTTTTGCAAGAATGCTTAATCAGACTTTTACATATATCTATTTATGAAAGAGCTGCTTAGGAGAACTTCAGGGACCGCAATCTCCTGGGAAAACACTTAGCTGTTCCAACAGTTTGTGCACTTTTTTTTTTGAGCAAATATTTATTTATTAGATTTACATGCTGACTTTTGTTCAGGATCTTCTGCACTCTCCTCTCATTTCTTCCTGAAAACAACTCTGTGAAATAAGACGGGCTGAGTAAGAACAACTGGTTCAACGTTATCCATGACTGAGGACAGAACCTGGGTCTCCATGGTGCCAGTCCAACAACTTAATCAATACACCTCAATGGCACTTCTGAAGGTAGGGGATCACAAAGTGGAAATAATTTTTTCCTTTACTAGGAGGTAAAAGATATAGTCGGATCTCCTGAAAGGCCTATCTTTTTCTTAAGTTATCTTGCATAGCTCCTGTTTTATAGCAGAGATATCACAGGGCATCTCTGGATTTTGAAAAGTCAATTATACTCAAATAATTTTAACATTTAACAAAGAGCCACCTCACAAATAAAAAAAGGTAGGTCAATCAAGAAGAAGAAAATAATTCCTGCAAAACCAGACAAGGCTTATCCTCCTGGAAATCAAATAATATTTTGAAATATAGCTACCTCTAAGGAGTCTTGATGGGCTACACATGCACAGACATACACACAGAAGCAGCTGCATGAACCTGTATGCCTATTATGTGAAAAAATGCTGATAAGGTTCATCACTAGGATCAGATGATTGTGTTTAAATAATTAGCAGCTAAAGGGTTTTAATGGTATTTATTTATTTGACAACATTTATATACTGCCCCAATCTAAAACACTCTGGTCAATATACAAAATCACAATACATTAAAAACACTTTGAAAACAAACATAAAAACTAGATGGCTGCCACAATGCCTCAAAAAGGGATGAAGTCCTGTTGAAACAAAATGATTGTTCAATGCCTTTCAAACTGTCAGAAGAGAAGATCCCTCTGGAACAGCATATTTCATAATAAGGAGTCCACTTCTGAGAAGGTCTGCCTTCTAGCCTATACCTTTCTTAACTCCAGGGGGATGGGGAGAGGGATATTAAGCAAGCCCTCTCTAGATGTTCAGGAGGACAGCCAGGATCATATTCAGTAAGGTGGCCCATGATATATTCTCGCATTATGTTAAATAGGACTTTATAGGTTATAACCAGAACTCTGAATTAGGTTTGGAAGCCTACTGGCAATAATGCAGCAACTGCAGAACAGGAACGACTCTACAAAAGTGCATTTCCCCTACCAACAGTCTGGTCACTGTTTTCTGAACCCGTTGCTGCTTGTGGGTTGTCTTCAAAGGTAGCCCCACGTAGAATATACTGCAGCAATCAAATTACATGACGAACAGGGTATCAGCTATCATTGCCAGAGCTTCTCGGTCAAAGTAGGGCTGTAAATTGTATATGCAGAGGGGTGGGAATGGGGGGTGCATCCAAATTCAGGAGGAGGTTAATGCTTCTCTGATGGAGGACATCATTCCACCACCAAGGGTAGTGCGCCCCTGCTGAAGAGGCTATCTCTCAATTCAGCTAATAAACAATTTCAACCCAGTCTCCAAGCTTCCCTTTTTAGGGAAGGTTATTGAAAGGTGGTTGGGAATTCAGGCTACAGGATCCTAGAAGAAGTGGACTATTTAAGATCCCTTTCTGTCACAGCAAGGAAACAGAATTGGTCATTCTGGTAGATGACTTTTGTCAGGAACTGGATGGAGAAGTGTATTCTTTCTAGTCCTATTAGAACTATTAGTGGCATTTGACATCAATGATCATGATATCTTTCTGGCATTCAGCATAACCTGGAATCAAACCGTGATATGTTTTCCAAAGGATAGGCAAGGTAAAGCTTAGAATGTTTTGTTTTCTGCTTTATCTATTTAATCAGCTAACTATGATTTATAATGGCTTGCATTTGCTTACCACGTAGTCAATACTTCTCTTCTACGGTATAAAGAAACCTAGAAGTACAGCAATGGTATTAACCATTGTTTGCCAGTTTCGCCATTATGCCAAATCATAATTCCGTGTACTATACTTTGCAAAGAGCTGTTCAAACTATGATTTTATCCTAGTTTGCTGGCTAACTACAAGTGACGTACTCAACATTCAACGTTCATTTTGTTGAAACATATTCTAGCAATACAGTGAAAAGAAATAAGTTGTGTATGGACTATATAACCCAAATAAATGTTACATTACTTGATTACCAAACTTTTTATGGACAATATAACCTAAACTAATGTATCACAATGTTTCCAATTTTTTTTGTAACATGAATAGAGGAGACCAAGATATTGAACATTAACTTTCTTCTTCCCAGACAATAAAGTAGTGCCTTCCAAAAGAAAATCTTGCAACGAATTATTTAACATACAGTGGGGCAAAAAAGTATTTAGTCAGCCACCAATTGTGCAAGTTCTCCCACTTAAAAAGATGAGAGAGGCCTGTCTGTGAGAGCCAGACATCTTGCTTGTTTGTAGGTGACCAAATACTTATTTTCCACCATGATTTGCAAATAAATTCTTTAAAAATCAGACAATGTGATTTTCTGGATTTTTCCCATGGAGGAATGGGCCAAAATACCAGCAACAGTGTGTGAAAACCTTGTGAAGACTTACAGAAAATCTGTGAGAGCCAGACATCTTGCTTGTTTGTAGGTGACCAAATACTTATTTTCCACCATGATTTGCAAATAAATTCTTTAAAAATCAGACAATGTGATTTTCTGGATTTTTCCCATGGAGGAATGGGCCAAAATACCAGCAACAGTGTGTGAAAACCTTGTGAAGACTTACAGAAAATCTGTGAGAGCCAGACATCTTGCTTGTTTGTAGGTGACCAAATACTTATTTTCCACCATGATTTGCAAATAAATTCTTTAAAAATCAGACAATGTGATTTTCTGGATTTTTCCCATGGAGGAATGGGCCAAAATACCAGCAACAGTGTGTGAAAACCTTGTGAAGACTTACAGAAAATCTGTGAGAGCCAGACATCTTGCTTGTTTGTAGGTGACCAAATACTTATTTTCCACCATGATTTGCAAATAAATTCTTTAAAAATCAGACAATGTGATTTTCTGGATTTTTCCCATGGAGGAATGGGCCAAAATACCAGCAACAGTGTGTGAAAACCTTGTGAAGACTTACAGAAAATCTGTGAGAGCCAGACATCTTGCTTGTTTGTAGGTGACCAAATACTTATTTTCCACCATGATTTGCAAATAAATTCTTTAAAAATCAGACAATGTGATTTTCTGGATTTTTCCAATTATTCTGTGCATGAAATTTGTTATGAAAGGTAAAATGCTTGCCAATGTTGTCAAAATCCACATGTATGTCCTTACAGGCCTCTCTCATCTTTTTAAGTGGGAGAACTTGCACAATTGGTGGCTGACTAAATACTTTTTTGCCCCACTGTATTCCATTAGGAAAAAAGGGAAAAACGTGATAAATACAGTAGAATGTAAGGAATATCTGCAATTATTCTGTGCATGAAATTTGTTATGAAAGGTAAAATGCTTGCCAATGTTGTCAAAATCCACATGTATGTCCTTCCTTCCTTCCTTCCTAGAAGTAAATAATTAGTTTTGGATACAAAAGCTATCACATAAGCTCCAACACACATAAGCTTCAACACATAAGCAGAACATATGCATACATACATTTTCATCTCTAGAGCAGAGGAAAGATAATATGATTCTGGTATTTGATTATACACAAGGGCACACCAAAATATCATTTTTTCATCACCGTATATAAGGTACTTCCATATTAAATGCTATATATGGAATCTGTTATAGATGAACTAGGGCAAAAAAACCCACAAAAAAATGAATGACTCAGCCATGTCTGGCTGTAGCAAACACTTTGGGGATCAGTTGCTGGTTTTTAAGGAAAAAAAAAAAAATTATCCAGGGAGGAGCCTCAAGCTAATCTGTGTTTTGAAAAGGCAACTGTAAAGATTTATCAGTGGTATGGAGTTAAGAATGTCATACACACTGTCTTGTATTCTGGTGAGAGAATTGGATAAAAAATTGTCAAGCAAGCAAGCATTCCAGGAAACAGTTTATATTATATTACATTGACATTCTGCAATCAGAAGCCATAAGAATATATATATGCTTTTATTACAATAAATAATCTGATCTTTCAGAAATTCCCTGCAATGCAGTTTGTGTATATGTAAAAATAAGTTGGAAAATGGGATGCAGAAATGGGTTGTACATAATGCATCCAGAGATTCTGTTTCTTATCATATGGTATATAAATCTATACAAAAACAAATCAACTGCATGAGAGATACAAGGTCTAGGCAGGCTCCATGGGGTCTTATCAATAAGAGAGAATGTTGTTTGGAAGCAATTTCCCCCCCTCCTTTCTAGCCTCCCTGAGCCACCTCCTTTTTACAGGAGCTGATCAGGTGATGTGAACTGAATCTGCCTGCAACACTGTTTGTTTGCAGGACCCTTGGGTGAGGAAAACTCCACCTGTGCAGTTTTGGATCCACTCAATTTAAAATTAATCAAAATTAATTTGGGGAGAGGAACTGCCAGAGATGTTGATTCTATGACTGTGCTCCAGTAGTCTCCATCTCTCAAGAAAGGACAAACCACACTGTAAATTCAGGGTGTCACAGTTCTAATTACAGGCGCTCTCTTCTCCATGTATGAAGCAGAGTGCCGGAACTGTCTGCCAAATATACCCGCTACATCCCAGTCAAAACAAGTTTGGAACATGCTGTTTTTGTCTTATTCTCTGTTTGTCTGTTACCTTGTCAAGTTCAGCAGTGAAGTGAACTCCCACGTAAAACATTCCCAGTTTCTGTAATA